CCGAGACGGGCGGATCACGAGGTCAGGAGATTGAGACCATCCTGGCTAACACGGTGAAACCCTGTCTCTACTAAAAAATACAAAAAACTAGCCGGGCGAGGTGGCAGGAGCCTGTAGTCCCAGCTACTCGGGAGGCTCAGGCAGGAGAATGACGTAAACCTGGGAGGTGGAGCTTGCAGTGAGCTGAGATCCGGCCACTGTACTCCAGCCTGGGCGATAGAGCGAGAATCCGTCTCAAAAATAAATAAATAAATAAATAAATAAACAAACAAACAAATGATTCTGAACAGAAATTTCTCAAAAGACATACAAGTGACCAACAAATATATGAAAACATGCTCCTCATTAGTAAATATCAGGTACATGCAAATCAAAAAACACTATGAGGTATAATCTCATCTCAGTTAGAATAGCTACTATAAAAAAGTCAAAAATAACGAATGCTGGTGAGAATGCAGAGAAAAGAAAACTCTTACACACTATTCATGGGAATGTAAACTAGTACAGTCACTACATAGAACAGTTTGAAAGTTCCTCTAAAAACTACAAAAAGAAATACCATATATCGACTAATCCCATGACTTGGTATTTATCCAAATTAAAGGAAATCAGCTTATTGAAGAGATATCTGCAACTGCATGCTTACTGCAGGATTATCCACAAGGGTCAAGATATGGAATCAACCTAGGTGTCCAACAACAGATGACTAGATAAAGAAAATGTGGTATACATACACAATGAAATACAATTCAGCCATAAATAAGAATGAAATCCTTTCATTCATGGCAACCTGGATGGAACTGGAGAACATTATATTAAGCAAAATAAGACAGGAACAGAAAGTTAAATGCCACATGTTCTTACTCATATGTGGAAGCTGAAAATTATTGATCTCATAGAAGTAAAAGAATGCTAGAGGTTACTAGTAGGATACAGAGGATATTAGAAGCTGGAAAAGGTAGGAGGGAGAGAGGAATAGAGAGAAATTTATTAAAGGAAATAAAATTACAGCTAGAGAGGTGTAATAATTTCTAGTGTCCTGTACCACTTAAAGATGACTATGCTTGTTAATGTAATACATAGTTTCAAATAACTAGGAACATATTGAACATTCCCAACACAAAGAAATGATCAATGTTTAAGATGATTGATATACTAATTACCCTGATCTGATCACCATATAGTATATGGATCAAAATATCACTACATATTCCATAAATACACATGAGCATTATTTGTCAATATAAAAATACATAAAAGAAGTCTAATATGAACCAGCAATAACTGTAACAAACAAATGGGATCTCGAGCTGCATCAACAGAAGCATAACAGTTGGCAAGAAGGAGGAAAAATCTCATTTTTCTCAGCCCTGGATCATTCCCACCTTGAAGAAGAAGAGTGTCAGTTTGGGTGTTATGGCCCAGGATGTGAAAAAGTTCTATCCAGACGGCAGTGACCAGGAGGGTGAAATGTCTGAAAAATGCTTCATATGAGACTATTTAAAGAAACTGGGGTGTTTAGGTTGGTTAAAATGTACAGGCTCTTTTATTTTTGTGTCAAATTTCCCAACAGCTGCCTTGAAAAAGAATATCAGATCACTTTCCTTTTGGACATGGAGGACCATGAATACAGATTTCAAGTTGGTATAAGAAGAAACCCTCTAATAGTCAGTAATGGTGTGGAAATGAGATGGCCTATTTCCCGAGTAGTGAGAAAGCTGTCAAAGGAGGTAATCAAGAGACACTGGAAAGATATTGGACTGCATACCCTCTGAGGCTCCTCACAACTCCAATTCTGGGAGTACTTACACTCTTTTATTCTCCCATCACTACTGAAGAATCAGAGAAGACAAACTTGATAACCCAACAGAAATCCAAAGTCATAAATCCAAAGTGGCTTATCCCAGAAAATACTGCCTGTAGTCCCCAACCGCCCAGCTTCCGCACCTCTTCCCATCTTTTCAAAATGCCCCCTGGAAAATGGGCTGTGACATGGAGGACTCACCTTTCTTCTCAAAGTCCACCTTCTCTTCCCCTGGACGTCCCAGACTATCCAGAGTGTGGGTCACTTGGCTGCCAAATTCGTCCTCGCGGGAGACATGGTTGGCCCGCCTAGGTGGCTCCTCGTCCTCCTCACAGTCATAGTCATCCAGGATGGGAGTCTCCCGGATGGGCACGCCGATGACGGAATTGTGGGTTTGCAGCCGGGAGGAACGGAAGCTCTCCCGCGCCTGGGGACCCAGCAGCACAGATGGGATGTAGTGGATCTCATGAGTGGCTTCTGTGCTTGCGCTCTTCTGGGGGATGCGGCGACGCTTCTGCCAACGTCGCTGGGCATACAGCGCCACGGTGAACACCAGCAGCAGCAGCAGCAGCGCGATGAGGCCACCCTGGAGCAGGAAGGAAGGACACACAAATGGGCCACTGTTCTTTGGATTGGAAGGCCACAGGGGATTTTCCTGTCCACTACACTCTGCCAGGATCCCTGGGTTTGGCTCATAGAGCCTCAGGAACCATCAGCTATGGTTCTTAAGCTAGAAAGACAGTTTCAAACCTGACTTTTTCACCAACAAACTGTGTGACCCTGGGCAAACTTCTTGACTTCTCTGAGCCTTGCTTTCCATAGGTATAAAGGATGAGTACGAATCCCTGCTCTTCCTTCTTCACAAGCTTGCCATAGGAAGCAAATCAAATGGATAATGGTCATGTCAGGGCAATACAGATGGCTCAGTGTCAGGAAGGGTCAGCGCTGAGGCTTCACACAGGTGAATGTCTGAATCCAGACTTCACCTCCCACCAGTTGAACAACCCAAGGACAATTGCCTACGCTCCCCAGCCTTGCTTCCTCATCTGTAGAATGAGTTAACTGAAGACTCAAGAGACAGTAGTAGACTTTGTTACGCCTTGCTGCAAATATAAGATAGCATTATTAAATCAAACATAATTTCTGCATAACCTGTATTTTCTTCATTTTTCAGAAACACTAGTCTTTAAATTTCTGAATTTCAATAAGGGAACTGGCACAAAGTAGGTCCTTAACAAATATTTGGTAAATGAGTGAATGAAAATGCACCTTTCTAGGAGTCCTTTAATCAGAATTTCAAGGTCAACTGAAAAAAAAAATATATATATATACACACATATATATATATATACACACACATTTTTTTCTTTGATACACCCAACTCCTAAATGTTTGAGTCTGCATTATCATACATTAATTTCAAATAAGTTAATGTGTTAATGCACATCTCTTACATGACTCATATGATTCATGAAATACCCTGGTCTGTAAGATCCTTCAGGGCAGAGGTATTTTCAAAACACATCTGTAATCCCCATAACAACCTGTCGTGAGCTTGAAGTGGAAGGTTTGCATTCTCCAGACCTCCCCTCAATTGTTCTGTGCCAGAAACCTCTCTTCTGATGGGTAGGCCCTCATCACTTCTCTTGCTTTTCTTCACTTTATACTCTGCTTCATGTTTGGGAGATTGGAAGACACTTTGTTGAATGCCTGCTGTGTAACCCCTGGAGTCAGGAGGAATCACCCTTGTTGTATACAGGGTAAGAGAGAGGCTTCAAAAAATCAACAGACCCAGAAACTGAGACAGTAAGTGGCCGAGTAATATGTAAGCCTTACTTTTTGTGTGTTTATTTTGTTTGTTTTTGCTTTTTAACTCTAGAGCCTATATTCTTTCAATTCCACCTATGTGGTTGATGGCTTCTCCTTGGCTATGATCTCATTGAAGGCAAGGACAAATTCTGACAACTATCTGTACAGCATCTAACAAAGATGACAGATGTTAGCTGTGAATACGTTATCTTGGGGGCAAAGGTGGCTGCTGTTAAACACACTTGTTTAGGCCAAGAAGAACACTGTTTGCTGAAATGACTCAGCCATCCTGCTGACTATATGATATTAGAAAACTGGCATGTTCTATTTGCAAGACCCTCAGCTCACTATGCTGAAATTCAGCACCTCCACAGAGGTGGGGGGACTGGGTGGATAAGAGGACTAAGAGTTGGTGACCAGGTATGCAGGTGTGGCTGATAGCTCTGGAACAGGGGCTGAAGCCCTGCCTTGAGTTCAGCAGTGAGCTACTTTGGTTTCCCCAAGAAAGTTTCTCTGGATGTCATAACATAAAAACAAATGCACAAATCAAACAAAGCTATAAGTACGTGTATTTATATGTGTATTTGTGTGTGTGTGTGTAGAATCTATTAAATATACGTGTAACCGCGTGTGTATACCAGAGGTAATTCTGTATATATCACCTTAAAAAGCAACAGTGAATCTTTTTTCCTCTATAGAACATATGATGGTGATTGCTCTGTGTCACAAAATTCTGTGTGACATGATATGATTTGTCTGGGATTTTTTTGTGTTTCAGAAATAAGAAAAGGAGAGGGAGGGCATGAGGACGAGTGAAGAGGAGAGAGGTGATAGAGAGGGAGAGTGAAGAGAGAAAATGACTGGGGCAACACTAATCCTTGATAAACACAAGGGCTGACCCTCTCCTTCACACCTTTACTGAATGTTATTTTATTTAATCTTCAAGACAAGACTATGTGATAGAAATTAGTTTCTGCTGTATAGATGAGGAAAAGGTGATTCAGAGAAGTAAGAAACTAGCTTGAAGTCACACAGTCAGGATTTAATTCCAGGTCCAGTTGGATTAAAAGGGCCAGGAAGTGGTGGAGCTGTGACTGGACCCCAGCTCTCCATTGCACAGCCCTTGGTTACTGAACAGATATTCTCATTGACTAAAGAGAGGGAAGGGGAGAAGGAGGAAAGATGGTGAGGGCGCACGAAAAGGGAAAAGGAAAGTATTATTTTCAAATTCATCTTCCAGATGTGCAATGGGCGCATCTTCCCTTCAGAGAAGCTTTTCATTCTGCCCCATTGATGCCCCTGGGGGAATCTCCTTGCCTGACCCCACCCTCTGTCTTCTCACATTTGGGTGTTTCACTCAGTAAGAGGCTAAGGCCTTGCATGGTTTCTAGGCCTTCATTCCTCATCCAACTCAGTATATCCCAATTATGGTTGTTGGACTCTGTGGTCAGATCCCAGGACCAATACTGACCTAGGAAAGATGAGGCCTAACCAACCCATCCACCTGCAATTACTAATGCCCCTTTCTTCCCTCCTTGTATCCTTTTCCTCGAGAGCCTTCCAGCAGTAAATGGCTAAGTGCTGGCATCAGACTGACATGATTTTATCCAAGTTCTACTGCTTAGACACTGTGTGACCTTGACTAGGTCACTTTATCTTTCTAGATCTTTGGCTTTCTCATGGGTTAAACAACGACAAGAGTCATAATGTCACCTCATTGGGGCATGAAGGCTAAATAAGATGCTTGTGGGGTACTTAATATAGTGTAGGGGTACATGGTATCGCAGGTTGTTAGCTATTGTTACTGTCAACAGAATTCAGCAAGTATAGATTCTGTGTTGAATGAATAAAGGAATGAATGAATGAATGATGACTTTCTGGCCCTATATACCTATTCTGCACAACTTGCCTTGGATCCCCAAATGCTTCTCAATCTGGACCAAATGCTTGATATGTGCTCTTTCATTCACCTTTACACCTGTGATCATCCTACGTTAAGTTAGAAACTGAGGCACAGAGACAAAAGGTCATTTACTCAAGATAGTTCAACTGAGATTCAAACTAGCTCCAGCACGACTTTAAAACTGTTCTTGGAGTGGAGAAGGGACAGGAGCAAAAGCCTAATTAGCCCCTGTCCAGTCTCACGTCTTCCTTATCAAGTTACCTATGCAATTTCAGGTACAGATTTCTCAACGTAGGAAACTTCCAGAAGGATGTGGCAGAGGGACCCCCTGGTTTGGGAGGTACTGAGCTTGAGCTTCCCTTTAGTTTATTGACCCATTGATTCTTTAGCCCTTGGCCTTGCCGTTTGATATAAGCCCAAGCTAGTGGCTATGGCTTTCCCATTAGGACACAGGTCCCTTGTCCTCACTCCCCAGCCTGCCCTGAACTCAGCTTCCATCACCTCTAGCTGAGTCACTGACCACCTGGTTCCCATTACAGATTTGAGTTTTATTGCAAGAACTTGGTCAAAGCAGAATCCCAGTATTCTGGGGCTCACCATGCCACTGATTACTGAAACAGACATTCTAGGCTGGGCTTCTAAAAAACTCAGGAGGCAACATCTAAGACATGGTAGCAGCTTAGGTAATGTTGCAAGCACCAGTCTGACCAGCCCTCCCTCCCTAGACCCTGAAAAAGTAGTGGAATACATAAAATTGGATACAGTCTCAAAACATGTGGGAAAAAGGTTCTAAATTCAAGTTTACTTACTGTCTGACCTTGGCCTGCTCTTATGGACCTTCAGTTTATTAATCAGTAAATTGGACTTGGCCAATACTTGTAATACTGTATCACACAGTTAGAAGCAGCTAAGACTGGGGTCAGAAACACAAGGTTGAAATCTAATGCTACACATATAAGCTGGGCTATCTTGGGCACAGAATTTAATTTTTCTGATTAACAATTTTATTATCTATAAAATTGGATCATAGACTTCTTTATCGAGGGAAATGAGATATGAGCTAATGGACATGGGATACTTTGTTTAGTGCCTGGCACATGGTAAACCTGTGATAGAAGAAAATCTTCATTCATGGTACTCCCTGGGGCTGCTGTGCAAATCAAATCTGAAAACAGCTGTGATATCCTGTAAAAACTGAAGAGTGCTGTGCACAAGCCAAGGAGCTCAAGAGAACCATCTGGCTGCCTCTGTCATACTGAGACATCTCACCCAAAGAATGCAGATGAGTGACTCAGAATCAAGAAGGAAGTGTAGACTGTGTCCACCTGCACCGGTCCAGGCTGCTGTCCTGGTCCACACCCATAGAATTACATACTCCCTTCTTTATCGGCTTCCCACACCAGAGGTAAGCAAACAGAAAAGCAGGAGAATTGATTAGTGCTCAGCACGATTAACGTGTCCAGCCTCTGAGTCCACACCAGGAGCAAACACAGGCCCAGGTAGTGAAAAAAAAATGCTACAGGGCAAGAGGGGAGCTGAGGAGGGAGAAAAGACCTAGGAGGATGGCTGTGAATTTTTAAAAAGCAAGTTAAGAAGAGGCGAAGTCTCCAAGGGCGGCAAACTGAGACCCTGCTGGCCTCAGGGACGACCTGATGCCAAGTCCGATTTGGACCGTGCTCACTGCAGGGCAGCCCTAGACAAACAAGACTGAAGAAGTCACTGCAAGTTCTAGAAATAATAACACCAGTCTATTAGTTAGGGGGTTGCTTTTGTGAGGTTGTAAGCTGGACGGATCTTGGGGTGATCTGTTTTACCATCACCTTATGGGAATTTCAAGAAGCTTTCAGGGAGGAGGTAGAGAAGAGATGTGAGAA